CTCCCCCCAAACAAGTCACCCATCCCCCCCGACCTCCCCTGTCCGTATCCCACCACCCACTAACAGCCCGCCCGCCCAGGTCTCAGATCTCGCTGCTATTCCCTCTCTCTCAAGACTCCAGACACCTCTCTCACACGAGTGCTGGGAGTCTAGGTTCCCGGTTATTGAAAGCTAGGAATCGTAGGAATCGACTCCGAACCCAATTACTTACTTTCCAATTATGTGATTTCTTCCTCTGGTTACCTGGTTGGCTCCGAACATCTTCAGGATTTAGGATAACCTTGATTTTGGAACACTACGAAGCATCAAGTTTTATTTTTTTAAAATACGTTCTAAAAGAAAAGAAGAAGATTTAAATGATTAAAGTAACTGGCGTCCGTTGGTTTACGTAGAAATGAGTCGGAACTTTTCTTCCGTAGCATTGATCGTGGCAATCGGTTCCGGAATCGATTCTTCGTCCAGCTCTATCTCACGCACACACAATCCTCTCTCTCTCTCTCTCTCTCTCTCTCTCTGACACCAGCCCGCATGTAGGATACAGAGGAGTTCTCTCTTGTCTTCCCGTGGTAGGGCTGGGCAAAGATTCGCTTTAGCAAAATCCGGATAATATGTGAGGCGTGCTGACATAATGAGTTACTTCTCTGATTCCGGCCTTAGGACTTATAGGTGAAGTTTTTAGAATTTATAAGTGTGAAATAAAAGGTATGTTATACTTAAAGGAATATGGCATCAATAGAAAATCTATGAATTTAATCCTAGTGTCAATGTTTGGCCGATATTTCCATTTGTGGACTGCGAGAAGTAACTCATTTTGTCAGCACGCCTCATTATGTTAGAGCACCTCTTCGGCAAATAATAATTTGATTTGAACCACTTCGTCAAACGGGTTAGCATCACTTCAACAAATTATGGGTGCACTCACTTCGGCAAACGGGTCAGGAAAGAGAGTTAAGAGTCTGAATTCGGTATAATGTTTCATTGAGAATTATCCGGTTATCCTTATAGATTGTTATCCGGATTTTGTCCACCTCTGCCCGGTGGTTTCGCTGTTTGGTCACGCACGGCGCGAACAAACCTCCCACGCTCGCGTTACGGGCCGCCCG